TATTTCCAATATAGAATTTTTACTATTGATTAGAAGTGTTTCTGCTTCGAATTTTGGCTTCCGCCAGACAAGTGATGCAAAATGTATTTTAAAAATCGGGAGGAAACTGCTGTCATATTTTATTTTATTTCCCTAATTAACAGGTGACTTTTTAGCCTTTTTGTAGGGATGTCTGTATGATAAAAATCTATACTTTTACAGCATCAGGTTTATTTGTTATCTAAAGCAGCAACGGTGTCCTTTTCAATTCAAATACTTGTGCTCTAAGTTTAATTAATAGAAAAGTTTTCTGTCGAATGCTAAACTTTGAAATACAAGATGAGTCAAGGAAATCGAATATAAAGAACATTTCTTTAAAATGTCTAAATAGGAGACCAGCTATAGAGCAAAACTGATAAATTTAAGTTGAGACTCGACTGAATAATTGTCAATGGATAACAAGTTATGCCTCGTAATTAAATTAAACAGTAGCATAAGCAAGTAATGAGAAACAGTTTAACTGAATATCTGTAAGCAAAAATAATTATTTGATTTCCATTAATGGACAGATATAAATTTAATGATAAATTGCAGTCATCAAATAATGCGCAAATTATGTTTATATTACATATTCCTAGTAAACCCAGCCAATCCAGGTAATTAAATGAGTTATGGGCCCGCACAGAACACATACAGGCGTATGAAATAATGGCAATACGTTCTTCAATGGTAGTTTAATTGGTATGTTGATGGTATTGAAAAGTTTATAACTTTAGCAGCGTATTTGCTGCAGAATCCGAAGTATTTTGAAATATCACTGTATATTTTCGAATAGATTGTTGAAATCCCCATATATTTCCGTAGAGAGGTATAAAAATGCTGGGGATCAACTCCGAAAAGAGCCGAAAATAATCAACTTAATAAAATTTTGAAAAAAATCCAACAAAATTAAGAGGGAACAATTACTTAAATCACAGCAATCTTTCTGGAAATGTTGGTCTTACTTTTGAAAAAAATATATCATTATTTTATTGTTATATTACAACTTGAATGCATGCCCATCATATTTCTATAATAGTCAATGAGCAGCACATTAATAACATCAAACCTTCCTTACAAAAATACTTTTTACCGCGCTTAAGAAGTTAAACTTTTTCTAAACATGATTTTGAAGAACAGTAGTTTTGAACCAATCATTTGCTGTTAACTTTAGCTATTTTATGTTGTTGTTTTTGTAAAATGGATAATATTTTTTGCTGGCAAATTGGTTCTAAAGAAAATGGGCTGTAATCAGGTACACCACAAAGTAAAAATAATATAAAAAAAGTGTTACATTAATGCATAACCTAAATATGACAATAGTCGTAACCAAATTCATCAAATTTTGCTCGCACACGTGATAATTTGTTGCATTATTCACAAATTACATGCCATTTTGGTTTCCAATTATTAAAAGCCATCATTAATCATAAACTCTCAAATGCCGCTCGACATACACTCTAATTAACCGATTCATCATTGAAACTGTATGATTTATCGAAATGACTGTCGAATTGACGACCAAATTGTACGTTTCAGGAGAGCCGATCGAATGAACACCAAGTGGTCCTGCGAAACATCGGTTTCAATTTATCCGGAAACTTCAGCTGCGAAGTAACCACGGACGAGCCCTCCTTTGCAGCCATTACTGTAATCAAAGATATGCTGGTCGTCGGTAAGTAAATTTGTGGGGCTTCTGTCTTCTCTTTCGGGTTTTAAGTTAATTATAAACCCAAATTATTTATAAATTACTTCTAAAATCCACATTTTAAAGCAGTAAAAATGTACCTATTTGTACTTATTAGAGTGGAAACAGTTGGAACATCCAAACGTAAAGGGACCAACAAAAGGTCATTAAGTATTCCAACATTAGAAATCTAATTATTTTGGTTCTCTACGGCATTTACAATAGATATGAGCCAAAAAATTTAATTTGAAATTTGGCGAAAGGATAGAAATGTACTTATAAAGGAACAAAAATTACGAGAGCAGATTTTACTTTCTGGGAGATATGTGCTTAAGTGGGCATAAATTGAAATTTCGTTCGTATTTCTGGAAAAATATTACAAAGAGCAGGACGCTTAGGAAAATCGCTGTCAGTTTATTATGAAAGTCGGATCGTTAGTAGATAGAATATGATTTCCATAAAGAAATGTTTTAAATTCTCGAATATTACATTGTTAAAATCTCGCCACCTGCCTTTGATGTTTAATTATACTAGGACTTTTATACTCATATCTACTTATATAGTTCTTTGTGATCTATCTGACGCAACGTGGAATGCTTAGAATAAATGGAATAAAAAAAAATGTTGAATGATGCTTGCAAATCGTACATTGAAATTGGCAAAATATTGCTTCTCTCAAATAATTCGGCTGGGTTCTTTACGTCGATATAATCCAGTCTGATCTGCTTATTGATGTTTGTTTCGTTCTAAAGTCTGTCAGTATTAATTTTTTTTCATTTTAACTCCTAATTGGCTCAGGAAACTCCAGTCATTTAGCGAGTCAAAGAAGTCATAAACATCAAGGATACCGCTTTGCCTTGTTTTGAGCTATGTGAGGCGCATTATTTACTATAGGAAAGGTCTTTGCGAGAAAGTGATCAAAACTATGAAATTCACAGGGCTGATTATTCTTCCTTCGTAATGCCGATGTTATTTGATAAGTGCTGAGAAGCCGTTCGATGATCCAGATATAACGTACTCAACTTTTGCCATTTGCTGTTAAATCTAATATTTCTTATCTATTACTTCTAATTTACACACTAATACATCTCGAGCCAGATATGTACGGTATCTATGGTGTGTTCAGCGGTATTTCATTGGTAAAGTGTTTTTTTTTTTTGATACACGACATATTCTCTCTAAAAAATCAGTTTTCTTTTAATAATAATTTCTCGAGTTTATTGTACTTTCAAAATTTTGGGAAGAACGTGGAATTTTGACCAAATTTCGGCTGTTGAAAAAGTATACTTACTACTTACTAGTATAGAACTGAATTATTGATTATCTAGTTCAGTACTCGTGAGGTTTTGTCCTCATGTGAAACCTGTAAAACTCTGAAGGAATATTGAAAGAACCTGTTATTTTGTACCAAAGGCTGGAAATATTAGCGATAATTAAAATGCTACAAAACTATTATTTGTGTCGAAGTTTTCGAAAAAATTGGTCTATGAGCTAGAGAGCTAGTGTTTTGTGACACAATAACTCGGCATGTGTTGCCAATGTTGTATTTATTTTCTCCGCGGAATGAGTTTATATTGCAAGTTTTATTCCATTTTTTGTTCAAACTTTCAACTTTGTTTTGTTTCCAACTATCTACATCGACTGGTCCTGTTATTACTAGTTTGATGCTTATGAAACTACCACCAACCTATTTGCCATTAACTTCGTTTCTCAATTATCAAAGTATTTTGTTAGCTGTCTCAAGTTTCATTTTTTTTATAAATCCTATTGGTTGGTCGCTGTTGCCCGTTGCGTTTTTTACGCTAATCTGTGACACCTGTGCATACATGCTTTTATTTTGATGGATTTAGGGTTGGTTGTTGCTGCATTAACCTGACTTTTCAGGCATCATATTTTTCTTCCTCTTTAATGTTTCTTATTATTGAATTAATATTTATTAAACGCATTTGCTCTTTGATCGACGAAGAATTCCAACGAGCCATATACACCAAAACAAGTCCAGAATGAAAATGCTGCAGTATCCAGAAGCATCCAAAGATTCAACGACTTCAGAGCTGAGACAATAACGAAGACAACAAGGAAAAAAAGAGAAGCTTACAATTAAACAATAAAGAGTGCCGAAAAGGAGGTAAGATCAACAAAGAACCGAAACTTTTTGAAACAAGTACACGTTGAAAACGACGAGCTCAGAACTGATATAAAAGAAGTGATGCAAGCATAGATACAGTAACTAGGAACCTGAAGAAGGTGTACTAAAGAGCGGAGGCGAATGTACCAGAAACCGCGCTTGAGGGGATTAAAAGGGCAATAAACCATTTAAGGAATAACAAGACCCCTGGTGAGATCTCCACAACGACCGAGTGTGTAAAATATGGAGGAGAACATCTATAAACTGCCATACTGGAGCTACTGCAAAACATTTGGACAACTGAAACCCTACTAAAGGAGTGGGCTGAAGGTTTCATCATCCTGATTCATAAGGAAGAAGACCGGCTGTCCTGTAAAAAATCTAAGGGAATAACCCTGCTAAATATAACATACAAGGTGCTATCAAATGTACTAAGAGAACGCATGTCCCCACATGCAGAAGACAACCTAGGGAACTATCAATGCGGGTTCCAACTCCAAGAGATGCAAAACAGATTAAAGATTCACTATAAGACAGCTCCTAGAAAAAAGTTGGGAGTTTCACAGAGTGGCCCAACAACTTTTGTAGATTTCCACCAGGCATACGATAGCATTACTACCGGAAGTATCTGGCAAGCGTTGGAAGGCACAGGGGTACCAAAAAAGGTCATAAAAGAAACCAAGTAATGCGTAGAAAACTGTAAAGCCGAAGTTTAGAAGACATGTTCCAGGAAAGAACAACACGGAGACATTATCTATCAACAATAGCCTAAAACAAGGCGATGTATTGTCACCATTGCTCTTTAACATAGGGCTGGACATGGATATCAAAGAAACGAAGATTGGTCTGGAAATATTTCCAAATAAAGGCCCAAAAATGATCTTGGCATTGCCGACGACATTGATACGGGAGTACGATAGAAATTTTCATGGACATAGAGAAGGAGAACAAGAAGGTAGGGCTCACGATCAACGAGGACAAGACCAAATATATGCATACCAAACGGAGAGCAGGAAGGGACATAATAGGACAACAAATAACCATGGACACCTATAATTTCGAATGCGTAAAACAATTTAAGTACCTAAGAACAGTCATAACCTCGGATAACGATATCAGTAGCAAAATAAAAGCAATAATTCAAAAGGGCAATAAATGTTTTTTTCGCCTTATATGAACTGCTTAGGTCCCCACTTATCTAGGAACTCTAAAATATGAATATATTTGGCAGTAGTCATGCCAAGTGCGATTCGGAAACATGGACACTGACGAAACAGAACTAACTAGTGGTAAGACGCTTTGAACGAAAGATGTTGTGGAAAAATTTTGGGCTTACAGTAGATAAGAAAACGGGTGTCGAAGAAAACAAATGAGGAGCTCAAGAACAGGCACAAAAGACAGAGTTTAATAACACAAAGCACAAAGACTTAGATGGACCGGACACGTACAGAGATCGCCGAATGAACGTCTTTTGGAAGACTTTAGGACCTTTAGGAAGACCAAGGCTCAAATGGAGGAACAATATCAGGGAGGGTGTAGAAAGCTTGGGAGTACGAGACTGGAAGGAAGTTGCGTTGGAGAAGAATAGATGGAGACGAGTCGTAGATGCAGCTAAGATCCTCGAAGGGTTGTGACGCTGCGAGAAGTAGATTTGCGCTTTCAATCGTTATTTCTCCAATTTCGTTTTTGGTATTTTTATTGTCTTCAAGTATATTGAATGAAATACTGTAAGTTTTCGTCATTTTTGTAGAATCTGTACACTCATCCTACTGTCCAAGTATTCGCGGTTGTTTGCTCTCGTCTTTATCGGCTTCCGCTTTGTCAAGTTGCCCAAATAAATTTTGCGAGTTGGTCAAATCACTCTTCAGTATCCTGCTTGTTTACTTGCCTATGTAGCTTTCATTTTTTATTGTATGCTTTATGATTTTTTTGTTCTTATCACTTTTTGCCTCAATGACTCGAATGACTGAGGCTTTCAAATTCCGTCTGTAGCGATTTCATTGAAACAGTGCTAAGAAACAAATGCGTCTCTATCGCTGTCATCAACACGAGTATAAAATATATTTAAAGCAGTTAATGGTCTGATTCGTCGTTCGATCAAGATCGAATATTCGATGTCCACATCAGGATAAGAACTTTTAAAGATCAAGATTGTCACTGTTGTTAAAACACTGAATTGTTATAATTTTTATGCTGAATAAAGCATTTTATATAAGCGTAATTTAAACATGAAAGGACATTAGACAGTAGCAGAGAGACACGTACTCATACGAAGTTTAAAATAAATCAAAACTAAACTAGATAACACAATTCAAATTCAATATAAATAATCCTGTTGCCTAAGATATAATTTTTGTCTCTTATTCTCATTTTGTAAAAAAATAGAATATTTCTCAAATGAGCGTTTAAATTTACAATACCTTTTTTAACATTTTGTGTGAAGTTTGATACTAAATGTAAAGCTTTAATAATACCACTGACCCAGAAATAGGAGTTTGGCACTAACTGTTTATAGATATTACTGCAACTTATCATTTCCTACGACAGTAGTAGTAGTTAGTAATCCGCTTTTTTTCCTAATGACTACGTCAAACATAAAATAAAAATCAACAAAAAATTATCACCATGTCGTTCTACAAATAAACAATCCGAAAATCCCAATGGATAGCTTTATGGGTATTGGCACAATTGGAAATACCCACATTAGTGCAGCGGGTGATTTATTGCCAGCATCAGCATATTTTGCACAACAATAAAAGTCACTCACATAAGCATACAAATTAGATTGTTTGAAAAATACCGTCATTTTTCAACCAACGTATTTTGAGAAAAATGCTCAAGTGGTTTCATTTCAACGTAGCTTTACGAAGTCACACCTAAGTCAGACCATTCACAGTAACACACATTTTTCATTGTAGTGGTCAGAATATATGCATCAACGCATAAAGAATAATAATCTAAAAATGTATTTTAGATGTAACTTAGAAGGTTTAAAGAGATTCATAAGCGCATTTAGGTTATATCACCACACGAAAATTATAAATATGTATTTAGTAACAGATTTGGTCTTTCATTATCAACGACTGTTTGAAAGTGTTGGAATAATTTTAAAGATTCATTCAGTGCCCTCTATCTGGGAAAAATATAGGTCTAAGAGTGCTTCAATTAGAGTAGTTTATTTTCATAATTAAGTTAAATACATAATAATATGTGAACCTAAAAGAAATGTTTGAATTCTCAAGGAAAATAAATTTGTATACCTGTCTGAATTACGAATATGAAAATTACCAAAAATATTACTAAAACTTCTTGTAACAAAAATTGGGAACAACGAAATCATAATTGTTCATGTAGTGCTTATAGTTATTGATTTTCACCTGTGAATCTGTCCGTCTTTATACATAGCTAAATCAAATGAATTAACATGTGAAATTAAGCTGTAAATAAAGAAGACAATTTTTTAATAGATCTGTGATTTCTCATTTATCATAGATGAGGAGAGATATAGAAGGAAAAAAGGAAGATTGATCGGTTTCCAACATAGTTACAAGTTTTAACATTTGAACAGCACAATTTATAAACTAAAAGATTGCCGTTGTGCTTTCCCTATACACATTTATAGAAACGTGAAATAAGGTCCCCAAATATAATAATATTGAGAAATAGAATTAATAATATAATCCAAGTAATCTTCCAAGTTAAAGAGCTTCAAGTAAGCCTTGGTAACCACTCAATAAAAAATGTTATTTTATATTCATCCTGGAGACATAACACCGGCAAAAATGTTAACTTTTACGTGTTAAATATTTATAGAAAAATCTGCATTTGCAACATGTTCGTTTAGGCATTCATTCTAAGATTTTGAAATTAAAATGAGTTTACGATCCGGCCTGCTCCCTCTACAATGTGAAACAATTACACGAAAAAAGGTATGAAATGTAAAAACCCGTTAATTGTGTAATTAACAATGAAAAAATACAGATAATATTAAATTGAATTGACAAAATTTTAACTCCCATCAATTTTTTATTTAGTTTTTGTGTGCCTATATTCGATCATTCCTTTATTTGGGTACATTGGTCCAATTAGGTTTCTTTATAGGGCCCTATCCATTTGCCTGATTAATTGCTCACAGTTTATTTGAAAGTTCCAAAAAACTATTGTCCAAGAGGTTTAAAAACTATTAGGAGCTCAAAGTAGTCCTGGTAAAAAAATGAATCAACCACGTTTCCAATTTTTGATATCAACCCTGCATACATTCACGTTAAAGTCGTGCTGGAACGACTGAAGACTGGTCTCTCTAAGGTTTTCTGAGCACCACTGTGACACTTTGGTGATTTAAAGTTCTATTTCGGGTAAAACTGGTTTAAGATGCTTAACAAATTGCTTGTAAAAATGCTGATATTGCTTAATGGGTTTAAACAGCCAGTGTCAGAAAATTAGTCTCGAAAAATCATCAAGAAGAAGATCGTATGTCCCGGTTGCACATGGTAAGCACTGTTAATGTCTTACTTAAAACAACTTAAAAACCAACTTGCTTGAGATGCAACTGTCAATAATTTTGTTTCAGTTTATGGTTTAAATTGTAACAGAAGCAGGTTGCATCCAAAACTATTTTCAATTTTCAAATCTCAGAAACGATGGCTTAAAGCAACATTTTTGGAAATCATTTTTTTCTGTTGAAACGATCAGAAAAAGTAAAACTACTTATAATTAGATTTTTTACATATTCAGTGATGTAACAGGCAAGAGCAAAAAATCATCGATAAGATCATATTGTTTTCTTGTTTTGCAACAAAAGTTTTATTAACTAAATTCCATTTCACTTTTGACGCTTCTCGAAAAATATTTAAAAAACTCATTTTTAACAAGCGTGGAGCTTTCAATAGCACAAACAACAAATAAATTTTGTTTAAAACAAAATTTTCCTTTTCATTCTCATCACTGTGCCGACAATGCCGTTTTAGAGTTCTGGAAATTTCAGATTTGAAACTCTCTGTACATGAATTATTCCTTATTCACTAACTGAATTTAAGGCATCTGTGGTAGTTTGCGTATCTGAATTCAATAGGGGCGGAAAATATAACGTTTGAATGCAGACAGATACATGCTACTAATACCTCGATTGCGATCCTTGGCATTCGTGATGTGCATTTTGTTGATTCCAATGTAAACCGCAAGTTTCCAAATTTTTGTTGCAAAAGCCGTTGAATATATGTAGATAGTATTTTTGACTGGTAACTGAAATGTTCACATCTTTGCTTCCTTAAGATTTCACGGTTTTAAAGATTAAAACCGTAGTAACTGCGATGTTAATATGCTTAATTGAGTTACTTTTAGTCGTTCGGAATTGGTAAGTTTTAACATAGCGACTACCATTATCATGACATTCTAAAACTAAAAGTATTGAGGCCGAAATCTATCGACAGCTCCCTACAACGCTACTACTTATTGGAATTTCCCAAAGGCTATAAAATGTTGTCGCTTAACGGAAAAGTTTCCGCCACCTTAAGCATAACACAATAAATTATACACTTTGTTACAGTTTTGCCGAAAAGCCCTCCAAGTCTAACTACGGATAAAAGTTTCTACGAGGTTGGGGATGTGTTGAGAGCAAACTGTAGTTCGCCGCAATCCAGACCAGCTGCCACCCATACCTTTATATTAAATAATATCGTGGTAAGTACTGGCAACATATTTCAAACTTAATATGAATTACTCGTATCAGGGAGGGAAGTCAAAATATTAGGGTCAAGTGACTTTTTATCACATTACTCTGTGGGGTTAAAGTTATATGTAAAGCGATATTTTAACTAAAATTGCGAGTATTTGCTTTTGTTGGCCTACAACTATCAAATTTTAATTTAGAAATTAAACTAGAGTTAGTTCTACTTCTCCAATAAAATTATCCGCAGAATACGAGTTTCCATTTGTTTAATGAATCAGACGATTACATCCGGTGTGGTACGAAAGTATGGAATAATCCAAATAAATCGCAATCCGCGCACCGGATTTGTATCAAACTTGCTTGAACTTGAGTTTTAAATTGCACTTAATCTAATTATGCATACGACATTGTTTTCAAGTCTATTTTTTTTTAATGTCAGGAATTTAATTTACTTCATTTATACGATTTTCGTATACAATTTATGCGATCTTAGCTGACTTCACTAACACATAGAGGTGGGATAAACGGTTATTTTTCTGTAACAAGGTCACAACGTTCCAAAAGGAACAGGTTACATTTAAAATTTTTCATTAAACATGCGCAATGGTGATGATGGGAGAAATAGTAATGACAAATAATGATTTAGTTTATTAAAAGAATAGTACTTAAGCTTGCCTGCTTAAAGAACAAAAGAACTGACAATAAACTAGGTAAAATAAATACATAAAAACTGATTAAATAAAATATACGATTTATTTGAAGAAATGTTTAAAAATTTAATTTTCATTTAATAATGAATTAACGTTTAAAAATAAAATTTGTTGCAGATGCTTTTTACTGTGTTCGAAGTATTACCCGAGTTACTTTTGGTACCACCAAAAATACTTTTAAAAAAGATGTCGACCTTACAACGTCTATATAACTAACTTTCATTTCATCTTGTGACTGAATTTATATCTAAAAATGGCAAGCTTGCTTAAATGCAGGTGCACATTCTGCTTACAACATTTATTATTTTACATTTCAACTGTGATGGAATTTATGTCTTAGACTCTAAATTTGGTCATAGCTCATATGCAACTGTACATTCTGCTTAGTTTGCATAGGCATATACATCTCGAGCGAAGTTTATTAATGAGAGAAATCCCTTTTTTAAGATCTATTACAGAACGTCAGAAAACTAAATATTTCTAGACTAAAAATGCTGAATCAATATCTGATCCATATCTGAACGATTATGGATTCTGGAGAACGGAACAGTAATTCTTATAAACGAAAAGTGATAAACACAATAATCAAGACAACACGCCACTATACATATTTTCCGTTGAGAAATGGTTACTGAAACTGCTGCAATTGGATGGAGCGCTCGACGATGCCGCATCTGTTATGTGCTGACGCGAACCACTTTTTCTGTTCTATGAGACGGTTCCAAAAAACGTTTAAATCGGCAAACGGCTGCGGCTAGTGCGAAGTGCGCACAACTGTTTAGGTTTTTATGTTTTATGAGACGGTTCCAAAAAGAACGGTTTAAGTCGGCAAACGGCTGCAGCTGGAAAGATTGCTCGACGTTGTCGCATCGGTTCTGTGCTGGTGGGCACCGTCGTTACGGTTTTATGAGAAGGTTCCAAAAACAACCATTTAGCTAATCGGTAAACGGCTGCAGCTGGTTCGAAGTGCGCTCGACTGTTTCGGTTTAATGATACGGTTCCAAAAAGAACGGTTTAAATTGACAAACGGTTGCAGCTAGATAAATGCTCGACGGTGTCGCATCGGTTCTGTACTGTTGCCAACGGCTTTTTCGGGTTTCTGAGACGGTTCCAAAAACAGCCGGTTAAATCTGCTAGCTGTAACTACGGTTTCAGGTTACACGTTTCTAACAATGTTATTTTAGCGGTTACGTTAAATACCGACCATCCCTACTAACACATTATCAGTTCGATTTATTACCAAAAACTAGCTCAAAACAGAAAATTCAAAGTTCTAATGTGTCAGGTATCTATAACAAGTAACCTTTCGCCTATTGGCATTTTAAGATCTAATGCATTAAAATAATAAGTTTTGACTGACATTTTCTTAGTAACTTTAAATATTAAAAGAAACTTTCAGGAGTGTTTAGAGGAATGTTTAGAATTTCAAACAAAACTGAATAATCGCGAAAATATTACAGTTTCAGTAGGAATCCAACAATGGCTGTATCAACCTATATGACAGTGACGTCACTATTTCAGACGTCATATTGAAATGTACTCATGTCTGAGATTAGTTCGAAAGAATGTCTTTCATATTGGGCTGTTGCCAGCTTGAGCGTTTGTTGGCGGTGATTTAAAAATATTAATTTCTGTTGAATCATATATTTTTGTTAGAGCGCAGTTATATGTAAATTTATAAAACTATCTCTATTTTTCGCTGTACATGAATTGGACTTTAGTCATTAATATTGCTTGATCTAAGTGCATAAATTAATTTTTTTTGTCTACCAATTATAAGAATATACAAAATAGAGGAACTAAAGGATGGTGTTGAAAATATGAGCAAACTGAACTGTTTTGGGCCCTTGAAATTTTGTCAAACATTTTCGACGTGCGAAAATAACAGATACAAAAATATGTATGGAGAAATTGAAATTATATCTTGGAAAAATTTACAGAAACTGCTAGCACTCGCCAAGAAATTAAATCAGTAATTTTCATATTTTTCCATACTTCCGCGAATTGTAACAATTTGGATTGTTGCTGGCCGGTTATCTCGTCGTAATGGCATTAAAGAAAAATTAGATTAGTTGTCCGGAAATTAATTCCCAATATTTTTATTATTGTTAAATTATTCACCAAGACCGGGAGCTTATGGTAATTCTTCTCTCGTTTCAAATGATTTCGTGCATCTGCTGTGAAAGTGTGCATGTGTCAATTATTATCATTTCTAGATACTTTTTAACGAAATAAATCATCGGCTATGATGGGGAGATATTGATAACTAGGAAATTTGAACATGCAATATAATTTGCCGACGCTTCGATCAACTGAAAATTCCATCAATAATCCTGCACAATTTGAACTGTTGAGGAATAGCAAAATAAATTGGAAAAATAGATACTTAGAATCTAGTTATAATACCTATATTATGTCAACTAATTTGATTTGAGTTACGTAAAAGTCACTCAAAGAACATAATTTATATCAATTTGGAATGAAATAGCGGTTGCTTTTTTGTTAATTACTAGTATAGGGAATTTAATAGCGATTTGTCCAACTCCATACAAAAGTAAAATATTGTTAACTGTAACAAAGGTTTAATACCAATTTGATTACGTTCTCTGAGCAATGTGTGCAATAATTTGAAAATGGAAATTAAAATTCAGCTGAATATCTACTCATTACACTGCATTTTAAATATTAAATACTTTTTCAAAAATTGCCCGTGGGAATTAATTAATGCTGATCGATGATTTAAATAAGAAAAAATTGCATAATCAATTACCAGGAAAATCCTGGAATAATTAGAAATATTAAAAAGCTACATGATTGTTTCAATATTTGACCAGATACCTCTAGCGAAGTATAAAAACAAATCATTTGTTTCGGCTATAAGCCTCCAAACCTGTGTAATCCTGCAAAATATGTAGAACATGGTAATTACAATTTGTTTTAAACATTAGCAGCTAATGGAGTTTTAAACATAAATGGGGATTTCGAATATTTGCATAATGTGTCTGAACGGTCTTGGATAACATCGTTATAGTTGCTTATCCAAATCCGTTCTTACATTTTCCATTTTAAGACAAAATCGACTGAAGAGTCACATTTGTTACCAGAAAACTTTTTCATCAACCTTCTGTTGTCTTTCTGTTCGTACTTTAGTCACCATTACGAGAGTTTGTATATTATCAATTTATATCCGAAACTTTATGAAACACGCAATTTAAGACTTTGAAATTGAAGAAATTTTAATCTGATCATGTCGAATGAAGGTAAACATTCACGTGAGTAGAAAACTTTATCTAATATTTCCTAAAAACAAATAAGAGTTTTATTGCGGAACGAAATCGAACATTGACTCTGCCGAGATAGAGATAAATATAATATAATTACCAAAGAAGGCATTAGTGGAAAACAAAAATACGTTTTTGTTGTATCAGAGTGTAAGCACAAAATAAATGCAATTATTACAGTAAGACAACATTCACTTCAGSGTTATTACGTTTTTCATCATCTGTAAGTTGTACCAGTCAATCAGATTGCACTACAACCAAGAAATAGCACCGCCGTAAGATTGCATTTTTGGTAAATTAATGTAAATGAAGAGTTCCTTATGTATGCAGAAATTAATCTACTAYGATTAAATATAATTATTTATTGTATAATGTCAAGCAATAATTTAAAAATATACTCTAATTATAGATTACGACCTCATAAATAAATATAAATCATTAATGAAAAAACCATAATAGTATAATTTGCAGATAAGGATTCGCAAACAAGATAATAGTTAGTTAGAAGTTAACAATTTTTAGTTAGAAGCAGAAGTAATTAATCGTAGCAATTCTTGGAGTTATAGCTGATTAAGTACTCAGTAAATGGTGAGTAGTTGTTCTACTAAAAGAAAAAAAAAGGAAGAGTCAATGATCGGAACAAAACATCTTTAACAAATTCGGTTTAGTTGCTCTTTCTTAAATGGATCAGTAATTATTTAATCAGCAAAAGACGAATAATGAAGAAATATCCATTTAATGAATAGCGGTTACAAGTTTTTGAGAATTGGCTTAAACAAGAAAACATTTTTTTAACAAGTATATAAATAATAATAAACGCATTTATTGGAAGTATGTTGCACATTTTGATCAATAGATGTAAATTCACTATAAATAGAGTACAGTGTGAGAACTTAAAAAAAATAAACAGTTCAAAAGTTTCTACAACTGCAAAACACAGATCTATCTCTGATGGTGGCACGGAATGCTATTATTCATTGAATGATTCTATGAACCAAAGTACAACCCAAAGTTTGATTC